ATTTACCTATTACATTTAAAATATTTACTGAAAATAAAATAGAATTAGAAATTGAAATTTTTCCTTGAAGCAAAATTTACAGCTTTGTTATTGAACTGTAATGAAAATTTTGATTTGATTTTAAAAAATAGGCATTCTCTTAAAAAATAGCTTCAATTAAGAGAATATATAAAGACAATTAAGATTTTGAAAATCTTGAAACAAGAAGTAACAAATTTCAAAATCTTAAGATTATTACTGTTAGATATAATTCATTGTCATGAGACTTGGTAACAAAAACTATATATTACATCTGAAATATTTATTGAAAGTAAAATAGAATTAGAAATTGAAATGTTTCCTATAAAAATTAGGCATTCTCCTAAAAAATGGACAAATAAGATTTTGTATATCTTGAAAAAAGAAGTAAAATTTTCAAAATCTTAATATTATTAGTGTTAACTAGATGAATTGTCATGAGACTTGGTAATAACAATTTTGGTATAAATACATACAGTTTTAGGACCTAGTAGGAATCCTTAAGGTACAACTTACATATTACATCTGAAATTGAATTAGAATTTGGAATTTTTCCTTGAGTCAAAATTTTCAACTTTTTTATTGAATTGTAATGAAAAATTTTGATTTGATTATATGAATTAGGAATTCTCGTAAAAAAATAGCGTCAATTAAGAGAACAATTAAGATTTTGAAAATCTTGAAACAAGATGTAAAATTTTCAAATTCTTAAGATTATTACTGTTGGATAAAATTAATTGTCATGAGATTTGGTAACAAAAATTTGGTATAAATACATACAGTTTTAGAATCTAGTAGGATTTCTTGAGGTACAACTTACATATTAGATCTGAAATATTTATTAAAAGTAAAATAAAATTAGAAAATGTAACTTTTCCTTGAGACAAAATTTTCAACTTTGTTATTGAATTGCAACAAAAATTTTGATTTTATTATAATAATTAGGAATTCTCCTAAAAAAATAGCTTCAATTAAGAGAATATATAAATATAATTAAGATTTTGAAAATCTTGAAACAAGAAATAACAAATTTCAAAATCTTAAGATTATTACTGTTAGATAAAATTCACATGAGACTTGTTAATAAAAAATTGGTATAAATACATACTGTTTTAGAACCTAGTAGAATTCCTTGAGGAATTTTTCCTTGAGGCAAAATTTTTAACTTTGTTTTTGAATTGTAATGAAAATTTTGATTTGATTGTAAGAATTAGGATAATGATTTTTTTCTATCAATTAATTATAATATATTTTGATTTTCATTAAGGTCTAATTAATTATAAACAAAATGAATACTAGTATTTTTTAAATTTATTTCATAGGAAGAAATTGAATTATTTCCTAAATTAATTATAAAACTACAGAGTGAAATTGTATTTGGCATGACGAATGAAAATTTTCAGACAATTAATCCTTATTAAGAAAACAGATATTCCCTTCACTTTAGTAGTTGTAGTTAGTGCAAATTGCTAATTCGTAGTGTGATGGAAGAGGTAAGTTTGTTGACATGAAATCGAGATCACGCGTGCGTAATTGTACTTAATTTAGGTGTATTAATATTTATCTATTTGCTTTCTACATAATAAATTAATTTCCTATTAATTGTTAATTGAAAGGTAAAAGCGGAGCGGAGACTCAAGTTTATGGTGCATCGAGCGAGGAGCAATGCTTCAAACAGTGGGAGATCTGAACGAGTTTCCTGGATTTGGGACAACGAAGGATTCAAAATAAAAGTAAAGAGATCGAGCAGCGATTTCCATTCTGCACGGTCCTACTAATCAGATGTCATTTGCATTTAGAGTTCTCGGGTCTTTCATTCGTCTTGTGTCTATTTCTATTTTTTCTTTTACCTGTTCTCTCTTTCCGTGGAATAGGGAAATTGTCGTTAACGTTAACGTTTTCATTTATTTATTCATTCTCGTTTTACAAGTGTGTGTGTCCGTTGTTAGTGGAGTGTGACTGTGGAAAAAACAGGAGCGTGTGTGTCTATATGCATGTAGAAAGTGGCCTCAGAGCTACCAGAAGGGTGGACGAGGATCGAGTATAGGATAAATCTGGTGGTGCGACAAGGACGAGATGAAAATTGAACGCGTGTGTGCGCTTTTATGATTTGTATACTCAATGTCCGCACTCTTTAGATTTTATATTGTAATATTATCGTTGGCTGCTGTATCTAAATAAAACCTAGAACATGTACTGTGAAGATTTAGTTACTGTCGGGATTTTGATATTGTCGGGATTATGGTTGTCGGGATTTCGATGTAGACCCCCATATAACATGCATATTCAATACAGGTCTATATATGCATGATGTTTGTTGTATAGACCTGAGCGTCGTTTAATCGCCTCTAATCAAGACTTACAGTTACAGACGTGTTCACACATTCTGGAACTCGGATGGCGTGACCAGAAACGTTTACGTTCCCAAGGAATTCATTAAAATTGTACCTCGCGAAGGAAGTCTTCACTTGGACCGAGAAGCAAAAAGGAAAAAGAAACATACAAATAAATAAATCAATAGGAACGATCATAATCCCACATAAATCGTTCGCAAAAGAGACATCATCAATCCATACCATAACTTGGAACAATTTAACTCACATGATTTAATTAAAGATGGATTATTTATTTCGTTGCTTCGATTCTGATTCAACGAACATCTCGAACGGGATGCAAATCCATGAATGCATTGTTTCCTCTTTCCTTTCTTTCTTTATTTCTTTCTTTCCTTCTCAGCCGCAGCCTTATTTATACATAATAATTTCAGGAAAACGCAAACCCCGACTTATGTAATTAACGTTAATAAATTACATCACGTTCCGTGCAACTACCGAGATTCGATTAATATTTGATGATTTCACCCAGTCTATAATCATGGCTTTATTCATATTGCAAATCGATACTTAAAAATTCCCTTCGGATTGCCATAATTACGGCAATCGCCGCCGCGTCCGATGATTCCCATTTTAATTATGCACAACTTTTTCTAGGAAAAAAAAAACTCACTTACTTAGATGAAAACTATAAAAAAAGTAGTTTCAATTTAATTAACAATCATTAAAGAATCTGTATATTTCTTAATTAAATTAAATTTCCCGAGAAAAGTGAAAGAAAAGTACAGAAAATATTATATATTTTGAGTTTTGATTTCGCTTTCATGATTAATATATAATTGAAAATCTTACAAATATTCCTTTTTCAAACCTAATCCTTTGCAAACTCTTAAAATAAATATTACATTATCCAAATTATCAATGAAATTAAATAGTTAAAACATTATAAACAATATTTGTTAATAATTATAGGTTTCATACATTGAAATCTAAAATTATTTCTAATTATAATATTCTTCCCAAATTTACACTAAAAATCTAAATTAATACGTTTTCGTCTAAAATTTTCAATGTAAAATCCTAAAAAATATATGTTTCCTTCGTACATTGATACAAATCAATCAATTAATTTCCAGAAACTCATTTACAAGAAAATTACAACAAAAGTAAAGAAAATATTTCATAACATTTTATCTACTTTCATGATTTATAGAATTTCTTATAAATCATGAAAGTGGAAAATCCTGAAATTATCATTAAATTCTCCACATTATCAATAAAATTTGACATTTCTACTTCGTCCATTGATTTTTACAAAACAATCAAATGTATTGGAAAACTCATCAATTACACAATTGAATTACAGAGTAAACAAAAATTAATTTACAAGAAAATTAAAAGAAAAGTTTTTTTATTTAATGTTAAATACTTTAATGATTACTTGTAATATATTTAATTAGTAAAGATATTAATAGAATTTCATTGATAATTTTTGCTACAACTCATCATAAAATCAATTCTTTCAAAAAAAAAAAACATTGATGTGACTTTCATCATTTATAGGATTACTAATCTTATAAATATATTGAAAATCTTACAAATATTTCATTTTTCAGCCCTAATTCAATAGAAAATCCTGAAAATCACATTACATTTTACACATTATCAATTAAATTGAATAATCAAAACTTTAAAAACGCTTTTTTAACAATTTTAAGTATTACTTTCATTCATTCTTCAAAAACACAATATTTCTAATTATTCTACACAAAAAAACTTCCAATTCATCTTTCAAATAATAAAAGTTTATGAAGAAATCTTATACTTTATTATATTACCTGGATCTTGTAAAAAAACATAGAGAAAAAGAAACATTTATAATTAAAACTGTGACAAAAACAGCATAGATTATAATAAAATACAAGTTGAATCATGCACTTGATGAAATAGTAAAAGTTGTGAATTCTATCTATTTTATATAATCTTGTTGATTAAGTTTATTGTCAACATAGGTTAGATTAATGTCAGTACATAACCTAACTTAACTTAACCTGACTGCGCTGTGAAAACCTGGAATGAAATAATTACTAAATAAATTATGCAAGTATTATCTCATTTTAGTGATTATGTGAAAATTTCAGGATTTACGAAGTGTTCCGTTGCAGGAAATGATTGTGAAACCCTAGTCTAAATTATTCTAATCTTAATTAACATTAGTAAAGTTAAATTAATTAATAGATAAAATGAACTTTAGTTTGTAATTACTTTGCATTTTTAATTATTATGTTTTTAATTATATTCTTACAACTCTCATACTAAAATATCGACTGAAAATATCTTCTTACAGTTTGTTATTCAATAGAACAAAAAATCAAAAGAATCAAATTAAAACTGACAATGAAAATAAACGATACAAATTAAACTAATTGTAGAGCAAATAAGAAAAAACTGTTCATTTTCATTAAGAATCACGTATTGATAACAAAATCGTTACATAATAATAGAGAATTACATTCTTTTACATGCGCGATTCTCAGCAAACTCGGCTAATGAAATCCTATTGAATTAGAAAATGATATGCAATTTGTATTCTTAACGCACATTGAGAATCTATAAATATGCGTGCACTTGCGAATAAAAAAAATCATAATGTGCGAGAAGACAACGGAAAATGTCGTTGAATTTGAAGATAGTCACAATTCTCCTGCAGATATTATTTGTACAATGTGGAAACTTGGAGATTTCCCTGCGCCTCTTGAAGCATCAGAAGCAACCGACGAAAGTAACCGCATTTCTTTGCTCGTCGAAAGGTAAAACCTTTAGATCGATCATAAATCATTAGTAATATTACGCATAATGAGAGCAGTGCACTTTCCATACAAGGTTTGTTCAATCCGAACAACCGTTTCGCGTTATTTATTTAGTAGAATCTGAAGAGAGTTTTGTATGGAGTAGTAAAAAAAAATGTTAATAAATAATTAAATTTCTTCTGTCCTTAAGAAGTGCGTTTCTTGTATATCTGTCGGATGACACATTTACAGCCAGATCGATGATATAAGAGATATTCTCGAATGGGAATAGATCACTTACAGTAATCCTTCTACATATTAACCGTAAATCTTCACATAATCCATTTTTGTCAACACAATAGAAAAAAACAAGTCTAATACAACTGTAATTTTTAAAAAACTGAAAATACACAAGTACAATTTTTTTTCAGAACTGAAAAACAACTATATTTTTTATAAAACTAGAAATACACAACTACAATGTTTACAAAACTGAAAAAAACCACATTAATTTCTATAAAACTGAAAATTCACAAGCATATTTTTTTGCAAAACTAAAAAAACAACTACAATTTTTGAAGAAATAAAAATACAACTGATTTTTATAAAACTGAAAATACACAAGTACATATTTTTTTTCAGAACTGAAAAACAACTATGATTTTTGAAGAAATAAAAATACAACAATGATTTTTATAAAACTGAAAATACACAAGTACATATTTTTTTTCAGAACTGAAAAACAACTATATTTTTGAAGAAATAAAAATACAACAATGATTTTTATAAAACTGAAAATACACAAGTACATATTTTTTTTCAGAACTGAAAAACAACTATAATTTTTACAAAACTAGAAATACACAACTATAATGTTTGTAAAACTGAAAAAACAACGTTGATTTCTATAAAACTGAATATACACAATCATTTTTTTAGTGAAACTGAAAAACAACTACAACTTTCTGTAAAACTGAAAATACGCAACTATAATTGTTGCAGAATTGAAAAAAACAACTATAATTTTTGAAGAAATAAGAATACAACAATGATTTTTATAAAACTGAAAATACACAAGTACATATTTTTTTTCAGAACTGAAAAACAACTATAATTTTTACAAAACTAGAAATACACAACTATAATGTTTGTAAAACTGAAAAAAAAACAACATTGATTTCTATAAAACTGAAAATTCACAACCATATTTTTTTGCAAAACTGAAAAACAACTACAATTTTTGTAAAACTGAAAATACGCAACTATAATTGTTGCAGAATTGAAAAAACAACTATAATTTTTGAAGAAATGAAAATACAACAATGATTTTTATGAAACTGAAAATTCACAACTTATTTTTTTCAAAACTGAAAACACAAAAACGATTTTTCTTATTACAAAACACAAAAGTTTAATTAATTTACAAAAAAGAAACTAATTTAATTGAATTTTATTTTGTTTATTAGCAAATTTAGTGAACGTTTCTAAAAGTTTATCATCTCTCCCGGTGGACTCTGTTATTCACACGAAATTCGATAATCAAATCAACTTGTTCAAACCGTTTCAACATCAGATGATTTTGGTCGATTATTCTTGTTCATTTTCCAAAGATTTATTGGACATGGTATATTCTTCACTCATTAATTAAATATGTGTTAAATATATTTAAACTCTTGTAGGTAAATAATAACAGTTTGTTTAATTACCCTTTGCGTTGGATAATCATGAACACTCGAGAATTGGACGCAAAATACAAGATATTTGTTAATAGCAGAGTGTATTTGGTGGATGAGAGCGTTGTTTCACTTTACAAAATAACACCGGATAAACCTTACATTTACAATCAAATTTTCAATGAAAGTTCGATTACATTTCATACCTTGTCAGATGTGAAGGATCGGCCGGATCTGCAGAAAAGCACCATGAATATCAGCATCCCATACCTTTACGATGAAACCTTCAATAACTTTGAATCACTCAAGTTAGTTGACACTCATATAATTATTGCTATGGTGATGTTGTTTGATGATTTTGTTTTTAGGCCTAGTATGGGAGATGCGTTATGCAAGCACAATTACATCTTGATGCTATCCATAGTTGATATGTTGAACATAACACCTAACTTCCATTTCTTCCGATCTTGGGGAGTTCCGGATAAGAAAACGGGAATGTACGATGGGGTGGCTGGTGATCTGCAGAGGGAACAATCAGAACTAGGAGGTTCGACTCATTTGTTTCATTGATTGTTTACTACAAATTGCTTGGTTACAGCGACCGTATTGTTTTTCCTGAAAGACAGAATTAGAATATTGGAGTACATAGCGCCCAGTACTCCTACAAACGAAAAGTTCATCTTTCGAGGACCACCTCTATCCGTAGTTTCCAACATTTACGCGTTACCATTCAACTTTGCAGTCTGGATCTCATGCGTTTTACTCTTCTTGGTGATTATGTTCGTCGTTTACGCAATCATCAAATGGGAATGGTTTACGAAGAAGGAAGAGTTGATACAGAATGCGTTCTCTTTGAAACCGACTTTTGTGGATGTGATTCAGATGGAGATCGGGGCTCTATGTCAGCAAGGATCTGAAGCTGAACCAACGAGTGGATCGGGGAGGATAGCGACCTTCTTCATATTCTTATCGTTCATGTTTCTGTACACGGCATATTCAGCTAATATTGTTGTTTTGCTCCAATCGACTTCCAACAATCTGAAGACTCTAGAAGATCTGGTTACTTCGAGAATCTCTTTAGGTGTCGAAGACACCGTTTACAATAGATTCTTCTTTGAGGTAAATGCTTGAGACTATTCACATTTTCTTTTAATATTGTTTTTTTGTAGAGCGAAAATGGAAAAACGCAGAAGGCTATAAGGGAACAGAAAGTGATGCCTCCGAATAAACCGAAGAACTATATGCCGTTGCAAGTAGGCGTTGAGAAGCTGAGAACGGAATTCTTCGGTTTCCACGCCGAATTCGATCCCGTTTACAAAATGGTCGGCGCCACGTTTTCCGAGAGCGAGAAATGCGGCCTGCAGGAAATCAAGTATTGGAATTTCCCAGATCCGTGGGTCCCCGTTCGGAAAAACACCACCTACAAGGAGCTGATCAAGATCGGGTATTGTGTTGAATTTATGCGCAAACAAACCTATAAATCTTTAACAACGTTTTCAATCAATCGTTTAAAAGGTACAGGAAAATAATGGAGAGGGGAATCCAGCATCGAGTTTTCAACAGGATCTTCTCGAAAAGACCGGTTTGTCAGAATCAAGGAGCTAACTTTGTTAGCGTCAGCATCACGGATTGCTACTTCGCTTTGCTCATCTACGTCTACGGTTTAGTGTTTGCTCTATTCGTTTTCTTCTTGGAATTAGTCAGCAGGAAAGTCAAACAGAAGTTCAACTTTGTAAAAATATAGACTATGATTTAGAAATTCGCACTTTTCATCCATTTAGTGGATGATCAAATAGAAATTCAAAACTTTGCACTCTACATAGAAATCGTCAGCACTTCGTTATAATATGTAAACCACACAAATTCGATACTTTTTACAAAATCATCACTATTTTCACGTTTTTCGAGAATAAAAAATGTAGGCTCGGAAAAAATTACATACAAGAAGCTTATCAAGATTCAATTTAGTAGAATTGTACACAAAGGAACCAATAAATCGTTAACCACCTTCTTAATTATCCAAGACGGAGTTTTCATCAGAATCTTTGCAAAAAATAAAATCATACTTTGTATTAATATAAAACAACACTTTCAAATCGGACAAGTCAAACCGAAGTTCCATACTTAGTTATAATATAAACTACGGTTTAGAATTCGCATCTTGAAAGACTTAACTATGAAGAAAACGAAACAGAAGTTCAAATTATAATTTTGAATTTACATTTTCCATCTGCTTAGTAGAATTTAATAAGTATAATTGAAGTTCCACACTTTGTAATAACATATAGACGCGGTTTAGAAAACGCATTTTTTCTTTTTCTTGGATGAATTCGTCATGAGGAAGGTTAAACAGAAGTTGAGCATCTCATAATAAGATCTATAGTCTATAGTCTATGGTCTATAGTTTAGAATTCATACTTTGCATTTACTTAGTAGAAGTCATCATCAGGTAAGTCAAACAGAAGTTCTACACTTTGTAAAAATATAGACTATGATTTAGAAATTCTTTTTATCCATTTAGTGGATGATCAAATAGAAATTCAAAACTTTGCACTCTACATAGAATTCGTCAGCACTTCGTTATAATATACAAACTACGCAATTAATAGGTTTCCACACAAATTCGATACTTTTTACAAAATCCTCACTATTTCACTCACGTTTTTCAAGAATGAAAAAATCACATACAAGAAGCTTATCAAGATTCAATTTTGTAGAATTGTACACAAAGGAACCAATAAATCGTTAACCATCTTCTTTCTTAATCATCCAAGATCGAGTTTTCATCAGAATTTTTGCAAAAAATAAAATCATACTTTGTATTAATATAAAACAACACTTTCAAATCGGACAAGTCAAACCGAAGTTCCATACTTAGTTATAATATAAACTACGGTTTAGAATTCGCATCTTGAAAGACTTAACTATGAAGAAAACGAAACAGAAGTTCAACACTTCGTTATAATGTAAATTATAGTTTTGAATTTGCATTTTCCATCTGCTTAGTAAAATTTAATAAGTATAACTGAAGTTCCTCACTTTGTAATAACATATAGACACGGTTTAGAAAACGCATTTTTTCTTTGTCTTGGATGAATTCGTCATGAGGAAGATTAAACAGAAGTTGAGCATCTCAAAAGATAGTCTATAGTTTAGAATTCATACTTTGCATTTACTTAGTTGAAGTCATCATCAGGTAAGTCAAACAGAAGTTCTAAACTTTGTAAAAATATAGACTATGATTTAGAAATTCGCACTTTTCATCCATTTAGTGGATGATCAAATAGAAATTCAAAACTTTGCACTCTACATAGAATTCGTCAGCACTTCGTTATAATATGTAAACTACGCAATTGAAAGGTTTCCACACAAATTCGATACTTTTTACAAAATCCTCACTATTTTCACGTTTTTTGAGAATGAAAAATGTAGGCTTGTAGAAAATGACATACAAGAAGCTTATCAACATCCAATTTAGTAGAATTGTACACAAAGGAACTAATAAATCGTTAACCACCTTCTTTCTTAATCATCCAAGATCGAGTTTTCATTAGAATTTTTGCAAAAAATAAAATCACACTTTGTATTAATATGTACAACACTTTCAAATCGGAAAAGTCAAACCGAAGTTCCATACTTAGTTATAATATAAACTACGGTTTAGAATTCGCATCTTGAAAGACTTAACTATGAGGAAAACGAAACAGAAGTTCAACAGTTCGATATAATGTAAACTATAGTTTTGAATTTGCATTTTCCATCTGCTTATTAGAATTTAATAAGTATAATTGAAGTTCCACACTTTGTAATAACATATAGACATGGTTTAGAAAACGCATTTTTTCTTTTTCTTGGATGAATTCGTCATGAGGAAGGTTAAACAGAAGTTGAGTATCTCATAATAAGATAGTCTATAGTTTAAAATTCATACTTTGCATTTACATCAGGTAAGTCAAACAGAAGTTCTACACTTTGTAAAAATATAGACTATGATTTAGAAATTATTTTTATCCATTTAGTGGATGATCAAATAGAAATTCAAAACTTTACACTCTACATAGAATTCGTCAGCACTTCGTTATAATATATAAACTACGCAATTGAAAGGTTTCCACACAAATTCGATACTTTTTACAAAATCCTCACTATTTTCACGTTTTTTGAGAATGAAAAATGTAGGCTTGTAGAAAATGACATACAAGAAGCTTATCAACATCCAATTTAGTAGAATTGTACACAAAGGAACTAATAAATCGTTAACCACCTTCTTAATCATCCAAGATCGAGTTTTCATCAGAATCTTTGCAAATAATAAAATAACACTTTGTATTAATATAGACAACACTTTCAAATCGGACAAGACAAACCGAAAAACCATACTTAGTTATAATATAGATAGACTACGGTATAGAATTCGCATTTCTCCTCATCTTGAAAGACTTAACCATGAGGAAAACGAAATAGAAGTTCAAAACTGCGTTATAATGTAAACTATAGTTTCGAATTTGCATTTTCCATCTGCTTAGTATAATTTAATAAGTATAACTGAAGTTCCACACTTTGTAATAACATATAGACACGGTTTAGAAAACGCATTTTTTATTTTTCTTCGATGAATTCGTCATGAGGAAGTTAAAACAGAAGTTGAGTATCTCATAATAAGATAGACTATAGTTTAGAATTCATACTTTGCATTTACTTAGTAGAAGTCATCATCAGGTAAGTCAAACAGAAGTTCTAAACTTTGTAAAAATATAGACTATGATTTAGAAATTCTTTTCATCTATTTAGTGGATGATCAAATAGAAATTCAAAACTTTGCACTCTACATAGAATTCGTCAGCACTTCGTTATAATATACAAACTACGCAATTAATAGGTTTCCACACAAATTCGATACTTTTTACAAAATCCTCACTATTTCACTCACGTTTTTCAAGAATGAAAAATCACATACAAGAAGCTTATCAAGATTCAATTTTGTAGAATTGTACACAAAGGAACCAATAAATCGTTAAACACCTTTTTAATAAACCAAGATCGAGTTTTCATCAGAATCTTTGCAAAAAATAAAATCACACTTTGTATTAGCATTGACATCACTTTCAAATCGGACAAGTCAAACCGAAATTCCATTTCTCCTCATCTTGAAAGACTTAACCATGAGGAAAATGAGACACAAGTTCAACACTTTATTATAATGTAAACTATAGTTTTGAATTTGCACTTTCCATCTGCTTAGTAGAATTTAATAAGTATGTACTTTACATTTACATGTAGACACGGTTTAGAAATGGGATGAATTTGTCATGAAGAAGGTTAAACCGAAGTTGAGTATCTCCAAATAAGATAGTCTATAGTTTAGAATTCATACTTTGCATTTACTTAGTTGAAGTCATCATCAGGTAAGTCAAATAGAAGTTCTACACTTTGTAATAACATAGATTACGGTTTAAAATTTGCATTTTTCTGTCTTTTCTAAAGGATTCATCAACAGGTAGAACAAACAGAATTTCCACATTTCCTATTAATATAGTATACTTTACAATTCGCATCTACTTGGTAAAATTTATCATAAGAAAAGTCAAAAGCCCTTTATACATTACGGTTTTGAATTCACACTTTGCATCTACTTACTGGTATTCATGAACAGGTAAGTAAATTAGAAATTCAACACATTGTAATAATATAGACTACAAATTAAAATTCATATTCATCATGAGAAAAGTGAAAAAGATATTCAACATTTGCTTAATAGAATGCATCATCAGAAAAGTCTAAACTGAAATTCCACGCTTTGTTATAATATAGACTTCAGAATTTCAATTTGCTCTTCTCATCTACTTAGTAAAAGTCAAAAGCACTGTTGTAATATACATTACAGTTTTGAATTCACACTTTGCATCTACTTACCGGTAAACCATGAACAGGTAAGTAAATTAGAAATTCAACACTTTGTGATAATTAAAATTCGTATTTCTCTTCTTGTTAGAAGAATTCATCATGAGAAAGATGAAGAATAAATACAACATTTCCTAATAATTTGCACTTGCTTGTAGAATTAATCATCAGAAAAGTGTAAACTGAAATTCCACGCTTTGTTATAATATAGACTTCGGATTTGAATTTGCATCTACTTAACGGAATTCATCAAACAGAAGTTCAGCACTTCACAATAAGGAAAATTAAACATGAGTTCTACACTTTATAACAAGAAAATCGCCATCAGTAAACTCAAACAGAAGTTCAAAACTTTGTAATATAAACTTACATATAAACCCATATTTTTTTTATGAATCAAACTTAAATTGATTGGCTTTTCGTAAACGTTCAATTAATCGATTAGCGTCCGTGTGTTCTATCGATGTAAACCAATCAATCTTGATTTACATGCTAATCACTAAATGTAGCGATATATATATATAATTTTTTTTTTTGGAAACTCTTCACCGTACAACTTTTTAACTCAAGATCCATCGTGAGTTTGCAGACCGTTTCTTCATATTTTTATTTTCGTCGATTGCTCAATGAAACGAGCACGACTTAATTAGGTCTCGCCTTTAAATTCTCTACTTCGGCTTCGATCAATCTTAATTGAAAACGCGCTCAGCAAAGAGACGCATTTATATTATTGCCAATAGAAAACAATAATCGATGTAATATTATTATTATAGTATTATTATTATTATGATTATTACTACCTTCCTCTTTCTCTCTCTCTATATATATATA